GCATTGCGATCCTTAAAATAATCATCAACTTTATAATAGCCTTTATATAGGTAAGTATATTCTTTAAATGAATTTGAAATTTATTTATGGGTAGGTCAATTATATTTTGTGGAACTTTATTGAACATAGCAATACATTTACCCAGAAATGGAAGTCTGAAGCTTACACTGGAAGAATCGCGCTAACACTGTTGAAACTACCTGTGTCATATAAAAAAGGGGCGGCTACTGAAGAATTCCCGGACTATCCCGACGACCCGATCACTCTTGCCAACCCCCCTCAGACAACAACACGTAACACTCGCCGTTAGGCCCGCGACACCGCAATCACCGGTCACGAGTGCAACGACCCGGTCTACACAGTACGCGATTCACCAGGTACAGACATGTGCCTGGGCGTTTTTCTCCGCCCTCCACGACAAGTGATAATTAGAGCCGAGGTCCGAGCCTTTAGAGGCGCCCTCTAGTCATTCCGATCCCCAGCGTCCGACACGTGAGTCCAGGGCGATTCTATGACGGAGCGGAGAGACCCTCCGTGGGGTGATGCCCTCCTAATAGAAAGTCTCGAGGACGATCGTCATCTCGGCTTGAGGTCCTAAGGATCTCGCCGTCCCTTAGCTCGGTTACACTGAAAAGGCCATCTGAGGCCAACAGTAAGACACATTCATAAAAAATAAAAGAAAACTGAACTGGACTAGTAGACGACCGCGTATCCATTGGGGTCGTATGCGTTATTATAACATTATCAGAGTATCAGAATTGACCTGCTGGTCTTTCTGCTTGATTACCTTTACATCTGTTTCGCCAATACGATCGATGTTCTATTCCAGGTCGGGCAGGTCTATGTAGAAAATAAGCTTTTCTTTATTGTCTCTTGTCTTGGTAAGTTCAAAGACCTTCGCTGTTTAAGATATCTTAGCTACTTATAAAAAGCCTAACCTATGAAGATGCAGAAAACATATTGATCAGGATAAACTAACAAAACATATAAATAAAACATTTGCGTAAACACACAAACATACACAGAAAAAAAAAACAGAAAATAATAAAAAAATATACCCAAAGAAGAATTATCAATTGCAACCCGCGTGGGTCACAGGGAACTGTTTAGTGTGATAAAAAGTAGTATGTTAGTCCAGACTTAGAATTTAATTTAATAATTCATTTGGATAAGATTTCATATCAAGACGCGATATAATTACAAAGACAAATTAAACAGTGAAAAACAATTACTTCAATGGTAATGTTTTAATTCCCCATACAACTCCCACTTCCATTTCATCCCTACATTTGCTGTTTTTCGGGATAAAATATATTCGGGATAAGCATATGATGTACCTTCCCGTAGCTGAAAGAATTTCAAAATTGCTTCAGTAGCTTCAGAGCCTGTTCGATGCAAAGAAACAATCAAATCTTCCCTTTTTTAATATTATATGTAGTATGGACTTATACAGGATTATGGGTAATTAGACCGTATCCTTTTAAGGGGTCGTAGGGAAAGTCATTTACAATTATTTTCACTTCACATTATGTATCCGAAACTGAGCTATTTTTGTAATAATTTTTTTTTTTCTTTAAAAAAATCGAATAAAAGTTATGGTAAGAATCATATTTCGTTGACAATTTTGGAGAGATAACATTTCAGTTCGTGATAAATAATAATAAAACCCAAATAATCTTGACCCAAACAGAAACTACAGAGATTTAAATAAAAAAAAAAGTTGTTGTAAATTTGCAAACGAAAGTGCATTAAAAAAAATAACTTTCGTATATACAATTTGGGGTGAAAATAATTACAAATGACCGGATCCGGTCTGTTACCCATAACCCTGTATACATATCAGCGTTTTATTTTTATTAGAGCTGTGTAGTTTTTTAGGAAAACTATAATAAATAGCTTAAAAAAACCCTAATATTGATACGAGATAATATTAAAAATATCTCATATCTTAATAATACATTAAAATTAATAATCCTTGTGATTAGATATACTTTGTATATAATTTTGGGAATGCATAACAAAAAATTTAAATCAAAGTCAACCATGGCGGTGTTAAGCTGTAGTTTCTTACTTTTGGGATTAACTGTAGTTGCAGGTATGTTTACCTTACCCGAGTAAATTGTAGCTACCCGTAGGTGAAACAATTTTTAAAATAAATCCAATAGTTTCGGAGAATATTCAATGGGTAAAAAATCAATCAAAAAAATAGCAGAGAAAATAGCAAACTAGTATAAATAATAATAATAAACTTTATTTGCATTTTCAACAATACATTCTTTTATATAACTGTTTGTAATAATAATTTTTTATTTGCCTTAAACATGGTATAAAGGTGTTAAAATTGTACAAAATCCTCATGTTTCGCCATTTTCAAATAGCATGCAAATCAGTATAATGGAATCTAATGCAGTCACAATTATTACAATAAAATTATTTAATTCTTATTATGTTGAAATCACATGTCATGTTAAAAAAAAGTCAATGTAGTATTCTAATTCCTTTTGTTCAACAATTCGCTAATACTATAAAAATTATTACAATTTAGCCAGGCATATAATTTTCTTTTAAGCAATCCAGGCGTTAAAGACTTCCGTTCATGTGGAATTTTATTATATACTTTAACGCACATAGCCAAACAACTTCTCCCATACTTATCCGATTTTGGAATTACATTTAATATAAGTCTATTAGGGTCTCGGATTAAAATAAATTAAACTTAAACAAAAAGAAAAACAAATAAATAAGCAAGCAACAGAAATAAAATGAAAAACAAGAAATATGTCGGGTTATGTGCTGCAGCAATGCAAAAGGGTCAAGGGTCAGGATACGATTTGCCTACAAGGAGGCAAATCTCTGATATTCTGCCATAAATCAAATTAATTCTAAACTATTATTATAAAGAGTAAATATTTGTTTGTTTGTTTTTTTCCGTTTGCATCGACTAGATTCCAAAATTCTTTCTCATACGAGAAGCTAAATCATACGCAGGTGATGATTCACTACATATGTAGTATAAAACAAAGTCGCTTTCTCTGTCCATGTGTATGCTTAAATCTTTAAAACTACGCAACGGATTTTGATGCGGTTTTTTTCATAGATAGGGTGATTCAAAAGGAAGATTTTTATGTATAATACAAGACCACACGGGCGAAGCCGCTGGCGAAAAGCTAGTAGGCTACAAGTTACGATAAACAGGAAAACTAGTAAATAAAGAAAATGATACAGAGATAACTATCAACTCCTGTTACTTGTTAATTATTAAAAATATATTATTTATTATATATTCGAACAACTTTGCATTCACAGTGCTATACTGAAAAAATGTTATTGAAAAATGATTAATAAATCCACTTTGCTCCTGGCACTCTGAAATAGGACTCGAACCTAAGGACTTATAAGTCCTGGCGAGCTCAGTGGGTAGAGCAGATGCCTGGATTGCGAAAGGTCTTGGGTTCGTGTCCCATCTCAGTGCCAGGGACAAAGTAGATTTTCATTAAAAATTAATGTAATTATAATCGAAAGTTTAAATCATCCTTATCAGCTTTTTTATCACATTCCCACTGCAGAGGCTTAGGCCTTCCTTATGGATGGTTAAGGAGGATGGGCCATGACCCTCCACACGGACCTAATCCAGATTGGAGGGTATTAACGACTGCAGATGCAGCCAAGAACAACGGCTTAACGTGCATTCCGAAGCACAAAGTAGCACGAGATAATATTTTTGGTCACCCATTAGATGACCGACCTTTGCGAAAGTTGTTTAATAAAAACGAAAGTTAAAATGGTTATAACAAATACATTTCTTTCCGGTGTTCAGGTAAACTGCATGAAAAAGCTGAACATTGATTAAAATAGGCTCACAAGAAATATCTCCTTGATAAATTTGTTACAGTTGATTCTTAACCCAGTATTATTGTCTTTCTTTTCATTAGTAGTGATGAAAATTATTTCGCGACTTCGTGAATCATAGCCTATGTCACCCGTGTATAATGTAGGTGAAATAATGTTCTCGATTGAAGTTTCGTAATCAAGTAGTTTGTCTGTTTGCACAACAGACAAACTATCAAATCTGCCTGGTTCACACCCCTGTTGGGTCTCGGGTAGCTTAACGGTTAAAGCCCAGATTACGAAAGGTTACATTTCCAATTCCATCTCCTGAGATTGGTGAATTTTTAAGGGTTTTTTTAAAAGTAATTTGTAATATTTCAGCTCTCCCAACTGATCCTATCATCAGGAAGTTGGACTCTGATCTTCGTTACCAATATGCTGAGGATAATGATGGTAAACTACACCTCGTGGACCTATGGATGGACGTCAATGACCTATCTGAAGGCGCCAGATTTAATCCCGATACTCAGAATGTCTATCATCTGTTTACAAGGTTAGATTATATTTTTAACTGAATCAAAATCGAAAAAAGTTCTATCGTACGTTTTTAATTTGTGTATTTTCCCCGATGTCTCAGCGAATAGTCTGAGGTGGTCCGATAAAATAATTATCAAGCATATAAACATATATACGGGGCATGTTTAGTATATATGTCGGTGACATATATACTAAACATGCCCCGATATACTCATACCTTTACTTTTGGAGGAAGATCTAGAATAGATGGCTCCAAGTCCAAGCTCCGTATCGAACATATAACTTCGTCCTTTTTGATTTTAAGTCGATCGAGTAAAGATGGGATTAGGACAAACCTAAAATTTGATTTGATATGTCATATGTTGATCTGTAGTAGAGCAGATTTTGGCCAATTTAAGATAACGACCCTGTTTTGGCCGTTATTAGAATTACGAGCAAATAAACTCCGATACATCAAAGCTGTCAACGAAATTAAGTTTTGCCATAGTACAACATTTTGCAAAACCATTCATCATAAAGAATATTTGCCTATGCATTAGTTATATCACTTTGAAGTTTAAAATGGCCAAAACTAGGGCAGCGGCCAAAACAAAAACTTCTGCCGTATCCGGACTTGTTCATATTTCAGTTGTAATATGAAATACCATTTTGTTACCAGATCAAATCCTAGTGTGAGTCAGCCACTGATTGTTGGCAATAATGGTCAACTCGGCAGCTCTAATTTTAATGCAAATAGAAGGACAATCGTCCTAGTACACGGCTGGAGAGGCTCACCTAACTCACAATCCAATACTCTTCTAGTGCCAGGTAAGTTATCTTCTTATAACTTCAATTTACTTAACGTCAGGAGTAGCTCCCTCGCTTCATATATCTTCAAATTGATAGAGGAAATATTTATAATCCTTATATATTGGAGATAGGAGACAGATACTCAATAAGTTTATTGTTTCCATAAGTAATTTCAAATAATGTCACATAATTTAGTTAGTCTCACTATGGACCCTATCGGGCACAACAATAATAGAAAAGAGGGGCATTAGTTTTTATTATTGTAATTTATAAAAAAAATATTAATACATAATGAATTTTTAATACTGATTTAGTATTCATTTCACTTTTATAATTTAACCGTTCTTGTAATATTTTTACAGCTTTCCTCGCTGCTGAAGATGTAAATGTGATAGTGGTAGATTGGAGTACAGGAGCAGGTACCATCAACTATGCCACCGCAGTCACTAACACCTTTACTTCAGGTAAAATTATGATTAATTTTTTTCTGTGCTGTTAAATCAACGCCAAAGGGATTCTAGCGCGTACGGTCTGTTAGTGTACGATAAATTTAGCAGAATACCAGTGCGATGGCCAAACCCATAACTTACACAGCTGAAGCCAATTTTGATAGCACATAACATTACAATTTAATAACATTACATATCTGTTAATTGTTCTGTTTGTTTTATACCGTATACGTTGTGTATTGACGAAAGAAAATTTCTATTATATTTAATTTAAAGGATTTTAAATTAGAGGACTACATCGGCCCTAGAACACTACACTTAGACAATCATTATTTACTTAAAAGCTTAAAGTATTTGACGTTGAAGAAAAACTGTGGCCCTAGTTTACTACCTTTAGGTACTTTTTATTTTGTTTATATAGGTTATATCAGCAATTTACTGGATTATTATTATGTAGGAAGTTAACACTTCAGAGCTAATCATAATCACAAGGTCGCTTCAAATATAATCCATCAATCTAATGATAAATTTTAGTTTGATTAATTATTATTACACCTCATTTCTAATTACCTATAACGCACACAATAATATTTATAATAAAGGAAAAAAGTAGCATGTACAATACTCTTATGTATAGTATTGTAAATGCAAGAAATATAAAAAAAAATCGGTAGTCTCAAACTGTGCGTCCCAAGAAACAATTAGGCGCTGGTTGCAGGTTATTTGAAAGCTTAGAGTAATACTATTGATTTATAATGGATTCGGTTGTCACTAGAGGTGGTACAGTTTACTTATAAAATAACCTTAACTCCTGTGGTGGTATTAGAATCGTAAATAACGCAATTATAATTGATCTACAGTTATTGCAGTAGCGGTAGCTGCTTATACGAGGGTCAAACTGAAAGTTCTTAGAAAATCAAAAACTGATTACATTAGCCAGTTATTAGTTTTATTATATCTTTTCAAAATATTGTCCATTCACGTCAATACACCGCTGCATGCGATGGAACCACTAGGAAAAGCACTTTGCCCACTCGTCCTTAGGGGTCTCTTCAATGGCATCGCGATACGCAGCCACCGCTTCTTCAGCATTCATAAACCGCTTTCCTTTAAGTTTTTCTTTAATTTTTGGAAATAAATAAAAATCACAAGGCGCGAGGTCGGGGCTATACGACGGGTGACCCAGTAATTCAACGTTTGATGTCGCCAAATAGTCGATCGTTCGCTTGGCGGTGTGCGACGAGGCGTTGTCGTGGTGAAGGAGGATCCTACTGCGAGGTCGTTTCTCTCGAACTTTTTCCAAGACAAGTGGCAAACAATTGGTAGTGTACCATTCTGCAGAAACTGTTTTTTGATCCTCTAACACAATTGTTGCAAAATGACCTATCCTTCCAAAGAACGAGGCCACCATTTTTTTTCCCGCACTTCGATCTCTCTTCACTTTAGTTGGCAACTCCTCGAAAGGAAACACCCACTGAGCAGATTGTCTTTTGGTTTTAGGATCATAACAGTAAATCCAGCTTTCGTCACCTGTTAGTATGTCGAACACAGCATTTGAGTCACCTCCGTTAAATCTTTCAATCATTTTACGACACCAATCCACACGATGGAGTTTTTGAGCCTCAGTCAAATTATGAGGTATCCACCGGGCGCAAAGCTTCCTGACCGCTAAATGTTCGTGGAGGATTTTGTGCACTTGACTCATACCGATGCCTAAGCTTGTCCGAATCTGTTGATAGGTCACTCTTTTGTCAGTCTCTATCATACGCCGCACAACACAGATGTTATCTTCAGTCGTCGCCGTAGAAGGCCGTCCCTCACGTAAATCATCAGTGAGATTAGTGCGACCACGTTTAAACTCATTAAACCAGTTGTAAACAGTCGCACGAGATGGGGCTTCATCGTGAAAGGCCAATCGTAGTCTATCATAACTTTCTTGTTGACTTAAATGACATCGAAAGTCATAAAAAATCATTGCACGAAAATTTTCTCGTGTTAAATTCATGATGACGTGACACAGACAATTTTCAATTTGCCGCCAAATCGTAAAACAAATGACAAATGAATGAAATATATACTCAGTAATATTGGCAAAGAGTTATATTTTCAAATTTTAGAATTATTTTTTTATTATATTGTTTATAAGTGGCCAGTTCTAAGAACTTTCAGTTTGACCCTCGTATACTTATAATGTTAAAGCTTGTTTCGGCCTACAACATCAAAAGCATTTTAAAGGTCTTCGTGAACTCTCTGTAGCTCTTATTACTATAAATATTCTGTATTGACGACCCTTATAAATCATAAGACTGTATTTTAACATTAATAACGTTATTAGTTCTACAACGGAGTTAGATAAAAGTGTAGTAACACCAAACTCTATATGCGTTGTATAACTCTTATATATAGTTAAAGTTTGTACAGCAGTCTTGTACGATCATGATATAAAGGTTTTGGTAAGAATATAAGCTGTAGGTAACTCTTCAATGACACCGTTAAATATTTCTAACACTTAAAGTTTATGTGCTAAATATAATTGTATGAATTTCACGTTGTGCATTCAATATTACAATGAAATAAATTAATTCGTAGAGATTACAAAAAAGAACAGGTGGAGTGAGATATAAAATTCAGCAACAATATCAGAATGGTTCCATACAGTTTTGATGAGGAAGACTTTTTATAAAGATTTTTCGATTTTGGTAGTTTTATTTTGATAGTAGCTCGGACGAAGAAGATGATAATTCTGAATGAAAAATTTAATTTTAAATGAAAGTTTTGATACCACAATTTCTCTGCCCACGGATCCAAGCACCATTTTGCAGACGCTATTATTAAAAAAAAATCAATAAGGATGTTATATTTGAAACTCCCATTAAATCGTCTTATTTAAATATGCATACAGTTGAAAAACTCTCTTATTCGTTACTAGTTAATGAAAAACACTCTGGTGAAATTAAGTGCAAATTAGTTCATGTAACCCACAATAATATTTATTATATTGTACTTTCTGTCACTCCATAAACAGTATAGGAAGATTAGGTAATAAGAAGATTTATTATTAATTCGGTATTTTTTATTCAAAAATTACTTTATTACGATATAAATTACAAATTGATATATAGTAGTAGCACAGCGTCGTCCTCTCGCGCGCCGGAGGTTTAACGGGCGCATAGGAGCCGGACACAACAACGTTCATCGGCAGCGGCATCCCAGCGCGAACTGGGGACTCCACTCTGGCTGATTTAGATGAAATTTTGCTATTAATTTCTAGGACCGACGTTCTATGAGTTCTATGGAAAAAGAAAATAAAATTAATAATTAACTATTTAAACGTTGTATGTTGTATAAAAGGCGTTGTATGCTGTAATTATTATTAAGTTTTACTTTATAGATTATATTTTGTACGAATACTAAACTATTCGATGAAAGCTACCTAAAGATTAAGGATTTCAATAACTTCATATAGAACCCTAATCTCGATGTTTAAAGGTAAAGCTGAAAGCGTTATGTGACTCTTTTAAATCAGCAAAGACCTTACAGCATTCTTGGATACTGCCGCTGTCGTTATTCGAGTGTAGTGTTATACTTGAACGAAGACTGTACCTTTAGGAAAAAGTCACCATTTTTGAACACTTTCTGTCAACATAACCTCAAATGTTAATTAATACAAATTCACTTATTTTAAATCTAAGTACTAAAATTTACCCAATTATTGACTTGATTCTGACTTTATTAGTGCATACGAAGACTAAAACTGATTAATCTTTGAAATTGCAAACTAAAAACTGTTTTAGGTTATTAGCACTTTTAATTTTTTTCTTGATTTTTTACTTAAACATATATTTTTGAGGGCGCGACAAAATTGAGATGAGTAACATAATACACAATCACATTAAACTTGCAAGCGCACTTATAAATTAGCTTTAGATACATTTAACACACTGTTAAAAAAATATATTAAGGAATTATACTTACATTTCGTGATGAAAGGTAGACCGACTGAAGCACTTGTCATATTATGATAACTTTAACACTTGATGTATTTAAGGCTAACTAGTTAAACTGTGACACAAAAATCGCTACAAACGAGTTATAAGGTATCTAAATAATGGTTTAAGTTCTTTTTGACACCGATATAAGTACCTTATAAAACTTAAGATCTCAGTAAACTCTATTATACAGGTGAAAAAAAGTTTTAAACGGAAAATAATGATCTTATAACACCACTAATACACTTCTACTAAGAGTTATGTAGAACCACTTTCAGGGGTTTATACAGACTTTACCTGTATAATTTTGCGCCAAAAACCAGGTTATAAAGGTGTTATTACACTCTATAACTCTCTTATAAGATATACGCTAACTCTTTTATATCTAACCAGAACCGAAATATAGATCTACTAAAGCTTGTTTTAACGCTAAATTGTTAGTTGGGGTGTTACCTAACTATTACTTTCAATAGCTTTATGGACGTTTCATCCCTTTATTTGCTATTTTTCCGGATAAAATATAGCCTATGTCCAAAAGAATTTTTAAAAGCGGTCCAGTAGTGTCGAAGCCTATTCGATGCAAACAAACAATAAAACCATTCCTCTTTATAATATTAGTGTAGAAGACAAGCCAATTTCCCATTCTTCGCCCTCGTAAATTATAGCCAATGTCGCGTCACGATGTAGCTTCCCGTAGGTTTTTCTAGATAAGATAAGGTTTTTCAGCCATAACCCTCCACACTGGCATGTGGATTGTAGGGTATTAAATAAAGTCTACCTTCCGACGCAAGGAGTTGCCATAACGCCACCGAGCTACTCACTACTATAACTGGCATTAAATAAAAATATTTTCAGGTGTAAGCGTGGCCCAGTTCATCAACTGGCTGAATAGCGCTTCTGGCGCTTCTCCAGCAAGGTACCATTTGGTAGGCTTCAGTCTCGGCGCCCATCAAGTAGGCATTATTGGAAGGCACGTACAAGGAGCTGTCGCTTACATCACAGGTAATATTCAATTTAGATTGAAATGGCCCTTGGTCCAGACATCTTGTATAGGCAAATCAAACAATTCGTTCAAATCCGACAGGATTGCATTTCACTACAAAGTTCCCATCGCCACCTTTTATCGCCTTTAACCAAAGTCCTTGTCAACAAATCCAACGAGTCCAAAAGCCCATGGGATTGCTTTGTTTCATTACAGAGATGGCTATCTTCTGGCTTCATCGTCAAAGCAGCTTCATTTAATATTCTTATCATATTGTCACTCAAGTCATGGTATTAACCAAAATCGGAAACTTTTGAGATTTGGTCTTCAATAAATAAATATCGACTCGTTCACGACATCTTTTGGCTGATAAGAAAAACGAGTGCAGGAAACACGCGTAAACATTTAGGACATTATATTATGATGTCTGAGGATGTCCTCAGTGGCTGACTGGTTTAAGAGTTGAACTACGACTAGCAGCATATTATTATTAACTTCCCTTATCTATGGCTCAGATCCTCCTTTTGGTAGAAAGAGAAAGATAAAGGAATTTTCGAGTGCACACTGATGGTATTCTGCATAATTGGCCAGCACCTGCTTCAAATTTCAGGTCTAGATGCAGCAGGCCCAGGATGGAACAATAACGATCACCGCTTCAGAGAAAACGACGGCGCCTACACCGAGTTGATCCACACAAACGCTGGTGTAACTGGATTCCTGTCTCCTTTAGCACATGTCTCCTTTTACCCTAACGGCGGTGTTAACATGCCGGGTTGCGCATTTGTCTCAGATTGTTCGCACGCGAGGTAATTTAAAATCAGCTAGAGCTTCTTAGATATAAGGTATTAATTGCAGAATCACACGTTCGGGCAAGACCCTAATTCTGCTAATGTTAGCATAATTTTGGCCAGTCAATGACCTTTCGATTACAACCTTTTCGACATAGTTCTCGTTACTAGCAGTGGCAGCTTTTTTATGATGTGTCGTTCGCTCGATCTTCTATTGTCAATTAAATAAAAAGAAACTAAACTATCAAACTACATGATCAGCGAGCAATATTATCACCAGACCTCTTTTACGTCCCCACTGCAGTAGCTCAGGCCTTCATGGATGTTTATGGAGGATGGACCATGACCTTTACGCTAACCCAATGCAGATTATAGGGTATTAACGACTGTAAATGCAGCCTGAACAGCACGGAGTATCTGAAGATAAAATTTTGTTGGTCACCCATCCTGAACCGAACCCTGCGAAAGTTGCTTAACAACAACGATCGTAGGCCGCGGCGCTTATCCGCTACGCCACCGAGCTATTTCTTAACTTGAAAAAAGAGAATGAGAAGGCATATTTACTAAGGAATTTGACTTTTAAGGACTTTGGTAGTTTTTAACGCTGCGTTCTGTTCCCAAGGGCTTATTTCTACTTTGCCGAAACAATTTGGGGTGGTGTATTCACCGGTCGCAGATGTGCTTCACATTTAACTGCTATGGCTGGCAACTGCATCTTACCAGGAACTTTGCAAATGGGTGGTCTACATCCCAAGACTGGGTAACGTGTTGTTTTATGCTTTCGTAGTCATTTATACTCCATTCATTATAACATTAGAAAAAAGAGGGTCATAGAAGCAGCAGTTCAGAACATTTTATTTTCAAGATATTTAAAAAAAATATATATTAGCTTTTTTTTAAACTTTGAACATTAGGTAGTCTGAAAGAGCTGGACAATTTTCCATTTTTAATGATACCTCGGGGTGGAGATGAGGCCAGCATTTTATAAATTTATCTTTTACTCCCAAGCCAAAATGGAACTAAAACTGAAACTGTCTATCTGTTGTTTTGATAAATTCTAATTGTAAGTGTAATTAGTTAGACTATTGATGAAGACATTGAAAAAACTTTCTGAAATATCAATGGTTGAGGGTAATAGTTGAGGAGGCATGGGGCTTAGAGTGTAATTTTTGTAGGCCTCTCGGGCCTGCAAATCTCGGAATCGCAATTTAGCAAAACTTAACAATATAAAGATAACAACTAAAACAAAACTATAAGAAAACAACAATAAAACAGTAATTACTCAATCACCGAAAATAACAAAACAACATAGCATTCACAATGAATGACAATCCCAGATTACATATTTTGACTATTATGAGTAAATCATAATCTGACAAAATTAAAAAGCTGTACTGCCGAAACGTGTGAAGGAATTAGGCAACGTTTTAAATTTGGTAGAGTTATAGTGACATGAGAATCATGCCGAATCTATCTAACCCTGCTTCTTGTGGATATGTAGCAAATTATCCGTTAATCTTAAGAGTAACATGATTGTTGACATTTTGTCACAAAGTATACTATAAAAAGAACCTTATTTTCATTCTGTCTAATGCTATAATTAATGGAGTATACATTAGAATAATAGTGCTATGTTATGACTTAAGGTTCGGGAAAAATATCAACACCAATTAAATTCACAATTAGAGTTTATTATTAAAAAAAAAAATACAACAAAATCGACACATCATCAACTTCACAACACTATTCGAACGCCCCGATAGTCCACTTCACTAGTTTTCATTAGGGATGTTCAAATATCGTCGATATATCGAAAGTACTCGATGTTTCCATACGATATATCGGATTGTTTCGATGTTTTGAAAAATATTTTTCTATTCGATATATCGAATATCGATACATTTATAACACAATATCGAATCAATTAAATAACGTTGACAGCTGACTTATGATGACAATAAAAGCTAAAGTAAATTTTAACACTACAACATTTTCACTTTGATTTTTATAACATGACATCAAATTTTCAGACGTCCTAGGGCGAGTTGTACTTGTCTTGCCAAGCCAATTGCTAATCTTTTGTTGTAGCCCCATCTGTTTTCTTGTTTTCTATAATAAGATATTTCTCCACTTATTTTAAAAGGTGCATTTTTCCAGCAATTGTGAAATTAGGTGCCCTGGATCTTTTCATTATTTTAGTTCGGCAGTACAAACGGTTTATTGGTATTTTTGAGTTATTAATAAACAGTTTTACTCTACTTTATGAATAACTATGAATGATGAATGGCGCGGCGACTTCAAAAAAATGTATGTTGATATAGAGTTTTGATAAAAACGATGATGACGTTTGTTTTTCTAAACTGATTTTATGGCGCCGGACTCTAGTCTTTTCATCAAAAACGGAACATAAGGAATGAATGGTGAACGAATAATATGCTGAATCTCGGTTTAGTTAAACTAGTCATGATTTTAGGATCTGCAAGATAACTTAGTTAGATTTAAGTTAAGTCGAGTTTAAGGCTAAGTCTGGATTTAATTAAATCGAGATTTTGGAAATTTAACTGCAAGTGGGCCTAAAAAAGGAAAGCATTGAAATTTTCAAAAAAATACTCGATATTTAAAAAATATCGATGTTTTTATACGATATATCGAAAAACATCGATATCAGTTACCGATATTTTATATCGAGTATTTATATCGATATATTTTTTAAGTGGACACCCCTAGTTTTCATACTACGTCTAGTATTAGAATGTTCTAGGTTGGTCTAAGTCCTACTGATATTTCGAGACATTACCAAAATGTTCTAAAATGGCTACTCGTTTACTACTTTCCCAATAACTATCCCTTAATCGCAAGCCGTATACCTATATGACACAAAGAGTTTGAACGGTGTTAGCGCGATTTAAATGACTCGTAATGCCATCTAGTAACGGGTAGGTGAACCACCGCGCCGCTGCGCTCCGTAACACTAGTTTTTCGCGGTATTGCTACCATATACCTTGTTTTTGTTTTTGTCGAGTGCTGTTGCAAGCGGCAAAATCACGGGATGATTGAAGTTTTTGCGGGTGGGTGTCATAGGCAGATATATCTATCTAACTTCTTTCTAGTCCTTCGATACCCGTACCACTGTTTACTATGTCACCACTAACTCGCACCTGTTATGCGATTCCGAAAAAATGGCGAACACACGGGAAAACAGCGACTAATATAATTTCACCATCATCATCAGCTCTGCTCTTCTACGGCAGTGGTTCAGGCCTTCCTTATGGACGGTTAAGGAGGAAGGGCCATGATCCTCCGCGATGCCATGACTTGACAAATGTAGCCGGCACCAATGGCTTAACGCGCTTTCCTAAGCGCGGAGTAGCTCGGGCTAATAGTTGTTTATCACTTACATATCTTGACTGACCCTTGCGAAAGTTCCTTAGCAACAACGATCGCGTGCCGCGGCTTATCCACTACGACACCGAGCTACTAGATAATAATTTCGAAAAAACTAATTGTACATTTCTTCTTTATAGATCTACCGGCGTCTTCCATCTGGAGACAAACGCGTCGCCGCCTTTCGCCATGGGTTAACAATAAAACTTTATGAAATTGAAAAGAACTGTTTGATTTTCTCCGTTTTAAATGTTAAAAAATTTTACTTTTTTTTTTGCAATCGATAGGTTTATTTTCCTAAATCACTCTAGAACTGTGTTTCTACACCTTATTGAATCATTTTTTAACCAACTTCAAAATGGAAAAGGAGGAGGTTATACGTTCGATGGCGATGTATTAAAATTCATTTTTTATTCAACAGCTTGATGGATGAAGATGGTCACATTTAAATCTCATCGAAATCGAATAAGTGGTTTTCTTTTTATAACGAAACAAAATACGATTTCCAATAGATATCACGTAAATATTAATATGATATACGAGGCTTATGAAAAATTTCAGTTAAAAAACAAAAGATTGCGCATGTAGAATTCATTCAAAATCTGAAAGGATGATTTAAATAATTAAGATCATCATCACATCACCAGCCCTTTTTACGTCCCCACTGCAGGGGCTCAGGCCTTTCTTATGGATGGTTAAGGAGGATGGGCCATGACCCTCCACGCTGGCCCAATGCGGATTGGAGGGTATTAACGACTGTAAACGCAGCCGGGACCGACGGCTTAACGTGCCTTCCGAAGCACGGAGTAGCTCGAGATAATAATTTTTTTGGTCACCCATCCCGTGACCGACCCTTGCGAAAGTTGCTTAACGACAACGATCGCGGGCCGCGGCATTTATCCACTACGCCACCGAGCTACTTTAAAGCCTTTCGTTTGATTTATATCAATAGCGTTTGTGTCTAACGCTTGCTTTAAATAACCTTTCATTCCATAGTATAATTTAAAAAAACGTCGCAGTCGCAATCACTTTCACATGTCAAATGAAATAGATTTAAAAATTAGACAAGTTTAGAATATTTGTAAAAATATTTCTTTCGGCTATTTTGGATGGATTGCCTGAACATCTTTGTCTTACCCAAATAAATAGAAAGAAGGGGTAAATTTTAAAAATATTACGGACGCTACATTTTCTTTTCTTTGTAATATTTATCATAGTACAGGCAGTCCTCGACTTACGTCGTTTCGATTTACGTCGTTTTAAGTTACGTCAAACAATGTTTTGACACTGTTCCTCAATCATAGACGTCATTTGTTTCGATTTCCGGAATAGGAGAATTCACTTGTCGCGAGGCCAATGTCCTAGGGGTTTTAATGTAAATAACAAAATTTGTACAGCCTATCAGCGTTACCAAGACGTATATGATAGATAGCAAGAAGAAAGAAGCAAAGCAATACAGAATTTATAGTTTCTTTAAGCCAAAAGTTTATGTTACTATTTCTCATTGCATATTTTGGTTATTAAAGTTTTATTATTATCATTGAATTAGCTAAACTAGCGATGTCGTAAGTACACTTATAATTATTTTAAGTTCAATGTATATCCTTTGTTATAAATGTAGTTTTTTCTTTATTTCGA